TTAGTGTTTGAACTACTTCATATCCCTTGCATTCAAATTTTTTTTGTGATAGAAATTGCAATTATATATATTTTATCAAAAGTTGCATTTCTCTCACCACTCTCCCTCGCAATGCTCACCAAGTGTTTTTACTGTTAAAACAAATGAGTTTTCATAGGTAGGCAATCATAACCTAAATATCCTATGTGGTACATCCCGAGCTCCACTGTTGTGCATTTAATCAAAATACCAAGCTAGAGCATGGAGCTCGAGTTAAGAGTATGCTACATACCAAAGGGTTTAGGACCAGTGGTACTAATAATTGAATCTCCTTGTGTCCCCTTCCTATAATTTTTATTTATTTATTTATTTATTTTTTTTGTGTTTAGTTTAGGACCAAATTTGGACACACACACACACACACATTTTCATTGAAAATTCAATATTATGGTTAAAAAGATGGAGAGATTGGGGACCTTTAATCCCATAATTATAACCAAGCTTTATTTGATTTGTAGGAAGTGTAAACTGCACCGAGCTTAAAGACTTGACCTAGAGGTCCGGTACATGAGGTGGTATATCACGTGTTTCTATACAAGTAGTGAGATTCTTGTGTTAAAAAATTAATAACATAAAAAATTAAAAATTAATAACATAAAAAATTAAAAATTTCACCACTTATATAATAACATGTTGTGTATCACTTATGTTACGGGCAGAAGTAAAAATTTCTCGACCTATAATGAGTTCATTTGGAGTAGTTTAAACTACCTCATATCCCTTTTAATCAAATTTTATGCTCTGGATATTGCAATTATATATTTTATTGCATTTCTCCACCACCCTCCCTTGTGATGCTCACCAGAAATGTTTTTACTATTAAAACATATGAGTTTTCATATTTCATAACCTAAATATTCTAAGTGGGATAACTTATTACGCTTTTGCAACATAATAAATTTGAAGCACTTTTTTAACTTATTGGATTTGGATCCCACCCAGATCCTCTTGTGATGATCCTTACATCCTTTCCGTTTATTGTATATCGTGTAGTCAGAAATCATTTTGAGTTTTTGTTTAAAATTAAACACAAGCAATATCTAATGATTTCTAGATGCACGATGTATAATGAACAGATAAGATGTGAGAAGAGTATCCTCACAAAGAGGATTTAGAAAGGATCCTCATCCTTAACTACTCGAGGGATTTTGATTGGGAGCTTAGTCATGCAATTGTTTTTATTTTTTATAGTTACCTAAACTTCTATAGTTTGATTGACTGGGCAGAGAACGAATATGTTTTGAGTAATGGATCAATGGTAGGTACTTCTCTCTCTCTCTATATATATGTTAACTATTTCCACCAGATATGCAGAGTTGAGGACATTATTTACTTCCCCGTTATAAATACGGAAAAAGAAAAAAAAGAAAAAAATCAGAGAACCAACCTTGATTTGGGAAGAATAAATTGAAAATAAAATCGAAGAAATACATAAATGCATTTTAAACATGGCAAACCCTTTGGTAGTGTTTCGTCCTCGTACATTAAGGATTACACATAACTTAAAAGAATTTGAAGAGAGCTGGGTTCTTTAAACTTGCATTTATTTTCCTTTTCATAGACTTGCGATTATATATCATATTAATTAGTTATCATCATTTAATATCTTCCTTGTACATGTTACATGAACATTAGGGCAGACACGTAACACATGAACCATCTCTGATAATGTCTTTTTTTCCTTCTCTTCTCAAATTGAACCAAAACCGTTTGAAAATAAAAATCAGCTTTCAACCAAACAATCAAGTCAAATTTTTGTTTCAACAGAAACCTAAATTATACAATCTCTCTCTTGGGGGACAACCAGGTCTCCCTCGACAAAACGAATCCCACCTATTGGATTAATGTATTTCCGAATCCAATATTTTATCAGATATGATACTTGTATGATACTCATCGGACATGTACCATAATTAATAAATACGACATTGACGAGATGAATACACATATTCCATATTTAAAATAGGCACATCTGGCTTTTAAGATATATATACACTTTTGGAAAATAATGAAAGGATAAAAATTAATATGAGACACCTATAATTGAAAGTTGATTAATACAAAGGGTTTCCCTCTAATTATAACCTTGTGTACTACTCTTACTACTCTTACACTTGTTCTTCTAATGGATATAAAGCGGATTATATTTCCAAATTTTCTTCTCCAACAACTCAAATGTGCTTGAATTTGAAATGATGAATTATTATTTTTTTTATTTGCCGCATCAATAGCGTATTGTATCTTAATTTTTAGAGTTTTTTCATATTATCGTGTTGTATCATATCACCGTATCCATACTATGACTTCATAAGTTATCACAGATTATAATTATATAACATTTCAACTACAATTGATATTGTTGAGGTGCCATTAAAATACCACTTTTAGGATGATTTTTTGTTTTTTGTTTTTGTCAAACAATAGATTTATTAGATTAGATATTAGATTAACCACCGACGAATTTGAACTCACACCGTCATGCAATGGCTCAATTCTTTTATCATTCTTCCGTTGCATAATGTTAAAATTGCTTATTGATTGACTAGAAGCCGGCGAAGAGTTCTAATAAAATTGTTTCTATTAAAATAAAATAAAATAAAAAATATTGGATACATAAATTTAAATAAAAAATAAACAAATCTAGAGGGATTTTTTGCCCCTTCTTTAATTCTGTCGACAAAAACTCAGAAACTTTGAAGTCAAAGGTTATCGCTTTCCTCCTCCTCCTCCCAACACCGTTCGCCTTTACTCCTCCATTACACCTCCAAGCCCTTACTCCTCCATTACACCTCGAAGTTGCTTTTTCTCGTACTTTTTTATTGATGATGAACCCTAATCTCAACTACCCTAAGATCCTCCATCACAACGACACTTTCCGCCATCACCTCTTCAACTACAAGTTTGTAAGCCTTCTTCTGCGACTTCCCAGGATGTTTGTACTTTAAAACTTTGATGCATGTTGTGAAGTACAAATGTCTTGGGAAGTTGTAGAAGAAGGCCTACAAACTTGCAGTTGAAGAGCTGATGCCAGAAAATGTCGTCGTGATGGATAATCTTAAGAATTACAATGTTATGAAGGCTTGGATTAAAAAAGGGGCATAGGTTCCGAATTTCATGATCCATGAGACCACTAATGATAATTTCAAGGACACACTGGAGAAGATAACCATGAAGCTAGGAAATAAACTACACCGAAAGGAGAATGTAATGAAGAAGCCACAAAGTAGTACTCTAAAGAGAGAAAGAGAGAGTGATGATCAAAGAAGCACAAGTTATTAGTTAAAGGTATAGGTTGTCAAGGGTCAAACAAGAACTATAAGTTTACCGTGTGTGTTTTAAATTATGTAACTTTGTTTTAAATTAACTCCTTCAAATGCGTTAGGTTAAGTTGTTCTAAGGATTTAGTTGTTCTCTCCATTTGACTCTCCCTTTGTTAAGAAAGTGATCTATCTATGCATTTTCCTTTAATGTATCAGCTTTCATTAAGTTTTTCTTGAGAAATTTGGAAAATTAACCAAAATTTGGACCATGAATAGAATTTTAGGCAATTATTTTTTTATTTTTATTTTTTAATAATTCTAACCAAAGTTTAACATAAAAGTACTTAAACATTGTTCCTGAAAATTGCTAAAAATATATTTTGCAACTTGTATTCCTTCGTCCTAATCGGCTTTCCCTGATGAGCTCCACCTCTCCACTCCTACTTTGTTAACAAGTTCATGATGAATCAAAGTAGAACAAATAAATTACCCCAAAAACATGAGATGTCTAACATTGAGAACCGCTCACCACCAATCATATCTCAATTTACCAAATTACGTGATTGTAATTTTAATAATTTTGCTATTTGATGCCTCTGATTATATGCAATACAGAAGGTTGCATGGGTGGATTACAAGTTTCATTGTTGTGGTGCTTGTGGGTGGGTGGGCCTTATGATTTGAGAAAAAATTGCCAGATATTGATTGATAATTGTTTTTTTTTTTCAGCAAGCAACTAAGAACGAAAATCTTTAATGGAGATGCCATTTTTCCTGCATACATCGAAATATGTTGTATTCTGCAATGCGACCCTTGAGAGCAAGAATGATGATATCATCAACCTCAAAAACAACCCCACCTGCTCCAAGATGATCTCTTGCATCTTTAAACTTTTTTAGGTACTTAGAAATTGAATCAGACCAGTGTTTGTTGTTTTGAAGCTAAGTCTTTAATTGAAAGATACTTGATTTAGTCACAAATGAGAATTATTTCTACCAATGATATAAGACAATGTAGTTGATGACATAGTTGTAGTAATAAGCAGCATAATTGCATGATCGTGCAGTTTGCAAACTTGGTGGGCTTCTATGTCCACACTTGCCGCATTTGAATCATTGACAAATCTTGATGGACATTTTTTGGTACCATCCACAAATTCTAGGATCCTATGACCTTCAAGAAGTAATGTGATTTGAAAACACCATGTCAAGTAGTTGGTGCCATCCAATTTCACTGTAACAGATGTCGATGCTGTTGAAATAAGACTAGTAATTAATGATTGAACAATCTGCAGTTACGCTGTTTTAACCATTGTTGTAGAAATAGAGAAATTTCTTCACTGCTGTGTTGTCAAACAGTTGATCTTCGTGATTAAGGGCTGGTTTGGTATTGCTGTGCTTTGAAAAAAAAGCTGCTTCTGTTGTGCTGTGAAAAAAAACGGTTGTGAAAAAAAGCCAGCAGAGTGTTTGGTAAACGTTTTTGTGAATGTGCTTTTGGAAAAAAAAGCAGTATGATAGTGTTTGGTAAACTTTTATGTAAAACAGCTGTGACTGTGTTAAATGACCAAAAAGGGTATAATACTAGATGTGCCATTAATTTAATTTTCTTAACCAATAAAGGTGAATTACTAAATATACTTTATTTGTAAAACAAACATATTTATAAACTTTATCTTAAATATTAATTAGTATGACAAACTACTTCAATTGAAATATTTTAGACTGAATAGTTAGAATTCATTAGTACAATATTGTTAATGTACTTAAAAGTAATCTAATTAGATGCATTCATCAAACTTGCCGCTATTCTATTTCTTAATAACGAGCTCAACTCGCAAATACAAATCATCCAAAATTACAGGGGAATAAAGAGAAACTGAAACAAGTGTGGCTTCCATCTGCACTGCTTTGGATGTAGAGGCACAAGGACGATCCCTCCCTCTCCCTATCTATAGATAAATATATCTTATAACCGCTGTTCAATGCTTGGTAAACTTCCTGAGGACTTCAAAGTAATCGGGGAATGTTTTTCTGGTACAACCGGGATCCTTGATAGTAACTGGAACGTCTCCACAAGCAGCAAGAGAGAAAGCCATGGCCATTCGGTGGTCATCATACGTGTCTATTGCTGTCACGTTTAATTTTTCTGGCGGTGTGATTATGCAGTAATCTAGTCCCTCTTCAACAGTTGCTCCCAGCTGAAATTTAGGTCCGAAAAATGTTAGAGAAGTAATAAGCATATGAAGGTGTGGGACTATCAAGTGTGAGGGTAGCCAACTAAAACGAACCTTTCTTAGTTCAGTGCAAAGGAGCTGCCATAAGCAAAGCAGTCAAGTACTGGCTACTAATTGATCCAGAGAGCTTCACCTGAAAACAACAGATAAAGTGTGGATTGAATTGATTAAGTGCATCAAAACTGCAGGCATTACAGAACAACCATAAATATACAAGACAATGCAAACCACACCTTCCCCCCTGGAAGGCCTCCCTTTCCAATCACACGGACAGGAGGGCAGTTTGTTCCAAGAAAACAATCAGCATCCACACCAAGCTGCTTAAGACCATCAACTAATTTCCTTCTTTAGGTCATTGATCACAAATACAGCGACTTAACAAATCCAAATTCTTTCAAAATTTCATCTTTTCTTTCATCACTCTAATGCACATCACAGCAACTATCCTTTTGCATTTAAAACCTTGAAAACCGAAATACCCAGCATTCTAAATCACCAAATTTGACTAAAAATTGAAACAATATCCTAAAAGAAATTGAATCCAGACATCACCAACCCATAAAAGTAAGAGATTTTCAATAATCAACAGAGTCAACAACAAAAGAAACATTAAATTAACAAATAAATGAATAATTAATCAGTTATGTAAGAAATCGGAAGTGTAAAACACACCTTGAGGGGTGGGTGGGGGGAGGAGAATCGACGAATGGGAGGAGAAGAAGAAGAAGGAAGAGGAGAACAGGGAAACGAAGAAGAGAACACAGGCGAGAAAAGGGCAAAATCTAAAAAATGGAAAAACCAAAATAAGGGTATGAAATTTTACGAGAAACAAAATTTGGGATAAGAAGAATTGCAACGCAGCAAAAGAAAAGAGCAGCCAAACCCTAACCTAAAAATTTAATTAATTAATTATAGCAAAAATTGAAAGCAAGTCGAGTAGTTGGTACCTGGAAGAGGTGCAGCGGCGGGAGTTTTTTGCAACAGAGAAGGAGAGAGTGCAGAGTGTAGGATCGGGAGAAGGAGAAAGGAGAAAGGAGGGGGCAGTTTTGGTAAATTGAAAAAATTCATTAATTGGGTACTGTAGCTCCGCGTTTTGGAAAAATAAGCGGCTTCTGGAAGCTGCAAAATGCAGCTTCCACTTTTTGGCTTTTTTTCATGGGAAACTTTGAAATAAAGCTGTTTTGGGATGTTTACCAAACACCAAAATCCTTATCAGCTTTTTTTCATGGCAGCTTTTTAAAAAATCACCTCAACCCCAAACTGGGGCTAAGAACTCCAATTTTCTTGTGAATTAGATGATTGTACTTGCCAAATTTTATCTTAGAAGGTGTACAAACTAGAGGATTGAGAAGAGAAGAGAGATTTTTTCAATGAGATTGAGGAAGTGCCGGATCATTTATTGGCTCTGATACTATGTGAGAATTAAAGAAATGTAGAGTCATGCAGAAAAGAATGCACATAGAAATTAAAGAGAGAAAACTTGAGAGTTTTGTGAATTGTTCTTTATTCATTAACAAGAATTGTTTTACAAAGAGTTATATACTAATCCACTACAAAGCTTACTAGTTAAGCTAATACAATGTGCTAGCACCATATGACAACAAACTACAATCCTAACTACCTTTATAACAACCATCTTCATCTAATGACATATTCACAATCTTAACCATTGTATTTTTTTCACTTGGATCACTGATAGGAGCATATTCATGCGACTTAAATGGCTTGTTCTCGTGCATTTACGTTATGTTTCTTTAGTTATTTTAGTACTTTAAGCTATTTTCGTGTGTTTGTAGGTTCAAAGGGCTAAAGGAGCAAAAAGATGCATTTTGGAGACTTTTGGAGCACTTTTGGGCTAAGGATGGATAGCTTATGCTTGGAGCCAAAGTATTGGACGAAATTGAAGACCTAATTGAAGACCAAAGTGTTGGAACCTTGTTCCCTTTAGTTCTAGGACATTTAAACCTTTCCTTTAACCATTGCACATGCATTCCATCCTTTAATTCACCCACATGCATCTCCCATCATCATTCCACTTTAACCCACATGCATTTCCACCCACATGCTCTCCCATTTCAGATTATTCCTTCATCATTGCACCCTCACATGTCCCTTTAATCATTCAAACATACACTCCCTTTAATCACATGCATAAATCAGCCACATGCATCTCCCATCATCATTCCACTTTAACCTACATGCATTTCCACCCACATGCTCTCCCATTTCAGATTATTCCTTTCTCCACACCAAAACATGCAGCCACATTCCCTCCTAGCTGTCATGTTCCCCCCCCCCCCATTTCACCTATAAATAAGCATTCATTCCCACTCATTCTCATCTCAATTTTCATACACAACACCACACCACAAACACATCCACTTCTTCCTAGCCGTGAGTCCCCATTCCCTTATAATCCAAACATCATTCCTCCTTCCATTTTCACCACTCCCCCAAACCATTCACACCATCAAACTATCCTTAGACCTTGTGCTACAACGAAGAGGAAGATAAGAGGGCCTAAACGTTCATACAATTCAAGTTTGAGTTGTTGGAATGTTTAGGTGTTTCTTTGATTTCAATGTTTAATTTCAATACTCTTTGTTTTGTACGAATGAGGAATGGAAGAGAAGAGGACCTAAACGTTCATACAATTCAAGTTTGAGTTGTTGGAATGTTTAGGTGTTTCTTTGATTCTCTTTGTTTTGTATCATGAGGAACTAAACCCCCCCTTGGCTAGGGGGGATTCGAAATATATGTTTATGCTTGCATTTTGATTTGATTACTTCTAATTACGTTTCATAAGTTGTGAATTCAATTTGTTTAACTGTTTGATTGATAACCTATTTATGTATGTTTATTGAGAGTGCACGCTTAATTTTCATGCATGAATTTGACGCTAGAATATAAGTGAGTTTCACGTAATAGTTATGAACTTATATTCATAAGTAGTGGAGGTTGCTTATAAACAATCGCGTTAAACAAATTCTTGGCATAAGTTTCATGCAATCATAGTAACGAATGCCTCGTCAACACTTATAGTTTTCATGTTGCTTAATGATTCTTGCTTGTATCTCTATTATGCAATTCATGTAGGGAACTTGTGAGGAATGCTTTGGGTTGTCGTATGCAATCATCCAATTCATTAACTTAAAGAAAACTTGACGGTTAATTTAAGCGGACCTAATTAACCCGGGGCGTTGAGAATTCATGGTTTATTGAAATGCAATTGGAAATCTTTTTATATGCAAGTGTAACATGTGTGGAGATGAACCCCTTAGCTAGCTTCCATTCCATTCATTAAATCCAAATTCGTTTTAAAATCTGTTCGTTTTACAAAGTTTTAAGTTTTGTTTTCAAATTCGTCAAAAACTCAATCCCCCTTTGCTTTAGTGTTCAACTTAGTTAGAAAGTGTCTTAGTTTGTGTTTCTAAGTGTTTTGATTCATTTTATTACCCAATTTCGTCTAAAGTAGTCAAAGTGCTCAAAACTGCCCAGAAAGTGTTTTTAAGGCAGTTTTGAGTGTTTTGGGGCTGTTTTGAGTCCTTTGGTTTGTTTTAGTGTTTTAAATGGTTAGTTTTGCATTCTTTGAGTCTAGTTTAGTGTTTTAAACTTTATTTTACGTTTTTGAGTCAGTTTCCAAGTGATTTTGCAATCCCTCCTAATCTCCGGTTAAGAACGATCCCTACTTATACTTATACTACAATTGATAAAAAGAGGGTTTAATTTGTGTGCGTATAATTCTCGCATCAATCACCAGCTTTGATATCCTTACAAATGTCACTTCCCCTTGAAGTGCATTTGCTTAGTATTCAAGCTTATGAAAGCCAGTCAAAACATATTTGAAGTGCGAAGTACCATCGCATATGATTAATAACCTTCTCAAACAAATTTGTAAAAGTTTATGGCCTTGTCACTTCATGAGTGTTTGAAATCTGCTAATATCTTTTAAAAAACTCAAAGGAAGGAAGAATCCCGAGATCAAGATCATCGATGTAGAAATTGGTTGCCTTACATCGATGTAGAAATTGGTCGCCTTACATCGATGATGGATGAGTATGGGGCACTTGAAATGCTTATGCTCCAATCCAAGGCTCTAGAGATACTGCTACTAATAATATGATAGTGATGTTGATTTTGCTTTGAGAATTTTTATTTAAACCCATATAATCTCATTCTACACCCAAGTTAAATTTTTTTTGTGAGATGCCTTTTTTAATCTATTACAAAATTACCATCAAGTACAAAATAAAATTAACAATATAATTAAAATTTACCTATAAACACACTGATCAATAAACCATTGAGGGCATGAGGATCCATTAAATTCAGAATCTGAAAAAAAAAAAAAAGTAAAAACAAATTGGCTTTAAGGAGCCTATCTTTCTTGACATCTTCATTGAATATAAATAAGGGGGCTATATTTCTTGATACTTTAGTCTACTATGTACTTTCAACCTTCCTTCACTAGCCTAATCTTTTAGTACTAAAATTGTTGCTTCCTATTAAGGTTTAATTCTTTGAATCAACCACATGGTGTCTACTGTGAACACCCACATCAACCGCTGTTTGCTGACCTCAAATATGCATTCTGTTACCCAGCAATCCCCATGGTCGGCAAAGAAGGATGATTGGAACAAGAGAACCTCCATAAGCAGAAGTAATAAAGGTTGAGTAAACACGTCATTTCACTCGACCAATTTTTGCTCCCTATTCGTGACTTTTTTTCTAGAAGCTATACTATTATTGAAAGGCTCTTTTTCTTCTAGAACCTCTACTAGGTTAAACTTGATGGTGAGCTAATCATTTTATTAGATTAATGTATGGATTCACCAGCTATTTAGAGATCATTCTGTATTTTGGTAAAAGGGAACATGAATTGTGCGGGCAATCACAATGGATATATTCATGGAAATGCCTCTCAACAACAATTGCTATCCAAATGAATTTATGACATCCCTAATACTTGCTTAAGCATTTGGGCATAATAAACATTACAAACCAGACAAAAGAACCCATTTTATGTATTTCTGTATTTATATAATTATTATTACTATTGTGTGCTTGTATTCATAAAATGATTTTGGTTATGTAATTCATCAAGGAGAGTGTAATTATTGTGGCAATGGCTAAGTTTGAATAAATCTTGTTTATGAAGCTGCAATGAGGTAAGAACAATGAGAATCCAATTTAAAACCCAACTCGATTTCCATTGTATGAGATAAGCACAAAAGGACTACAACATATGATTTAATTACTTCATCTAATCTTTTCTGATCACATAACCTCCCAATTCTAGATTGCTTGTTTGATCAATTCATCAAACACGACTCCAAATATGTATGGACA